CATTTACCTTGAAAAATACAAAAGACTTTCAGGATTTGGCACACTAAGTGTTCATAAGAAAGTAAGAGGCATTACTTTTTTTCTTTAATTTTCAGCAATAAATAGAAACTAACACTTGGGGAGGATTTCTATACGCCAAGTACTGAAGTGAAGTATTTTCAATGAATTAAACTCATTTGGTTTATTAAATAATCCTTGCAAGATAGGTCTGGTTCTTGAGTCTGTTTTACTGAAAGGGATATTGACGCTTAGCATTATTACATGAACTCACTCCTAGACCACTCAAATCCATGTCTCAGGCAGTTCATCCCACTTTCTGTCAGTTGCTAATGACTCAGAGAGGACTCACTCTGCAGAGAGCACTCAGCCCACAGGATGGAACCAGGAAGCCCTGAGGTCAGGGTACAGAATACAAACAGTGGGTGACTGGTATGCAGTACAAAAGGCCAGCCTCCCATATCTGGTATGGAGAGTTTATGCCAATTTGATAAACAATACAAGTTAAGGAAATAAAATACTAGTAAATTCCTTCAACCATTCATTACAATAGTAGCAAATGCAATTCAAATCAAAGAAGCTCAAGTTATCTTTCTAAGCACTCAATTTTTAATACTAAAAACATAATCTGTTATGATGCACAAGTTCTAACAAAACAGTAGAGTTCCTGAGGAAGGAAGAACCAACCCCACTGCCATTAATCAATCAGAAATTATTGGGTATCTAAATTAGATTCCCATTAACAAGAGTATCAGTGATACTACACGAAGTCCCAAATCAATTATATTACTGAACAAAAATCTTAAATTTGCTTTTCAGGTTCTAAACTAGGCCTGTGACTTTCAAGAAATAGTTAATATATGAACATTTTAGAACCCAAAGAATAAAGACCAAATTAGTTTTCATCTTGTTTTCATTTTGGTTTTCATCAGTTCCATTTAACATTCTAACCAGGATAGTTTTTGAAATGCTAAATCATAAAAAACATTCAAAACCTAGTTTTTTGCAGGTAAATATTCAGTGATGTCTTTCTGACTTATAATCAGCAAAACTAAGATAAGAATGTATGCATCCCTCATACATTATGAAATTCTACAAATTTAATTTTAATTCAAACTTTGAGCTTCATTTAGATGCCTAAGCAAAGAATGAACTAACATGCAGCAGCACTGACCCATAGCAAGTGCACCACGGATTTCTGTACCCACACTTCACCGGTAAGTTTTATGACTCTTATGACTTTTTTTTTGTCTTTTTTTTTTTTGGTCTTTTTGAAGTAGGGTCTCCCTGTAGCCCCAGCTGTCCTGGAACTCACTATATAGACCAGGCTGGCCTTGACCTCACAGAGATCCACCTACCTCTGCCTCCCAAGTGCTGGGACTACAGGCATGCACCACCACACCCGGCTATAACTCTTATTTTTTGACATTAAAATTCATACAACTTAGGAAAGGTAGATGATTTAGTAAGTCTTTGTCAATACCAAACCTCTGAGAATATTCTTCTATGATGAAGCACCTAACTGTTCAGGAGTTATGTTAACCACTTAGAGATCTGTTAAAAGCTTCATGAAGGCATTTTTGAAACATGCAATTAAAGCTTTCATCTTCAGTGTTTAAGCAAATAATGCCCCCAAGGCATCTCAAATTGAGATTTGAACTGAATTTTTGAAATTATAGTAATCCCTACATAGTATGCATCCAGAATGAAATAATGACAACCACCTATAACTCCAGCTCCGGGGGATCCAAAATCTTCTTCTAGTCACCAGACACACACACACACACACACACACACCACAAAAGAAAGACTAAAAATAAAATAAATCTTAAAAGCAGAAGATATAACAGTTGTCAATATTTATGCACCAAATATTGGTTGGCATCATTTCATTTAAAAAGCATTAAAAGGCATGCAAGCCCAAAACGACTTTACTATAATACTAGTAGAAAACCTCAATACAACTCTCTGATTTTTAGATAGGTCTTTCAAACTAAAAATCACCAAAAGGGACTGGAGAAATGGCTCAGTGGTTAAAAGCACTGTCTGCTTTTGCAGAAAACCTGGGTTTGAATCCCAGCACCCATATGGTGGCTAACAACAGTTTTTAACTCCAGTTCCAGGGGATCCAACATGCTTTTCTGTCCTCCAGGGGTACTGCAAAATGCAGGTGCACTTACAAACATGCAGGCATAGCACTCATATACATGGAATAAAAATAAACACCGGCATGGTAGCACAAGACTTTAATCCTAGCACTTGAGATGCAGAGGCAGGCCAAAGCCAGCCTGGTCTACATAGCAAGCTCCAGGTGGGCTGGGGCCAAAGAGACCCTCTCAAAAATAAATAAATAAATAAATAAATAAATAAATAAATAAATAAATAAATAAATTTTTAAAAATTAAAAATCATCAACAAAACTTCACAGCTATACTATACCAGCAGTAGGATTCAGTCATCTTTAGATAACATTCTGTCTAACCAATACAGAATATAATTCACACTCTTCTCATAGCCCACCAAAACATCTCTAAAATAAATCACATTATAAGCCACAAAGCAAGCCTTAATGGACACGTACCCCCCAAAAATAAAAACTAAAAGAAATTATTTCCTGGATCTTATGAGACCATGATAGAATAAAACTAGAAATCAGTAACAACAGAAACCATAGAAGCTACACAAATGATTGGAAGCTGAACAATATACATTTGAATGAACAATGGGTCATTGAAGAAATCAGGGAGGAAACTTAAAAATTCTTAGAATCAAATGAAAATGACAGTACAACTTACCAGGATCTCTCAGATACAGCTCAGGCAAGTCTAAGAGGAAAGTTTATAGTGTAAGTGGTTACGTGTTTTAAAGAAAACTAGAGCTATCTCAAATAAATAACCTAGTAATGCACCTTAAGGATCTAGAAAAACAAAAAGAAGCCAAACTCAAATGCAGTAAATAACAAGAAATAATAAAGATTAGGGCAGAAAGAAATCAATGAAAAGGAAACTAGAAAACAATTCATAGAATCAAACAAACAAAATTTAGTTTTTTGAAAAGATAAACTGGGTTGACAAATGCCAAACTAACCAAAAGAAAGAAAAGAAGATCCAAATTAATAAAATAGAGGTGAAAACAGACTTACAACAGACTTCAGTGAAAACCTGGAAAGTCCAGGAGCAATGATAAATACATAAACTTACCAAAATTAATCAAAAAGCTCTAAACTGACCCATAACAAATAATGAAACTGAACCAGTCATTTAAAAATCTCCCACAAAGAAAAGCCTAGGACTTGGGAGATTCACTGCTGAATTCTACTAAACTTTTAGGGAAGTCCTAACAAATACTCTCAAATTGTTCCATAAAATTGAAAGTGAAGGAACACCCCAAAAGCCACCCACCAACCCACCAAGTACTATACTGGTACCAAAACTAGATAAGCACACAACAGCAATAAGAGAGAGAGAGAGAGAGAGAGAGAGAGAGAGAGAGACTATACACCAATTTAATATCCCAATGAACAAAAATGCAAACAATCTCAACAAAATACAAATGAAATGAAATTCAAGAGCACGATAATAAAACCATATATCACATTCAAGTTGGTTTCATCCCAGGGACGCAAGGTTGCTTAAACATATCCAAATCAGTACATGTAATACAGAATATAAACAGACTTATGGACAGAAATCACAGCATTATCTCAATACATGTAGAAAAGACCTCTGACGAAGTTGAACATGCCTCCAGGATAAAAGTCCTCAGGAAATTAGTACTAGAAGAATCATATCTCAACAGAATAAATGCTATACATGACACACCTAAAACTAACAGGCTGCCAAATGGAAGCCTTTCCTCTGAAATCTGGGTGAGACAAGGGTGCTCACTCTCCCCGTGCCTTGACACAGTGCTCAAAGTCTTAGCTAAGTGGTAAGAGAAAAAACAAAAGGAATAAAGACACGAAAAAAAGAAGTCAAGGTGTCCCTATTTTCAGGTAACATGATCCTATTGTAAAGACCCTAAAGACTCCACCTGAAAACTCTTCACCCTGACACACACCTTCAGTAAAGCAGACGACACAAAAGCAACATGGAAAAATCAGTGATTTTGTATATACCAGTACTGAACTTGCTAGGGAAGAAATTAGGAAAAATATCCCATTAACCATAGATTTTAAACAAAACTAGAAATAAATATAATCAAGCAGGTGAAAGACCTCTACAATAAAAACATTAAGACACTGGAGGAAGAAACACAAGACTCTAGAAGTTGGAAAGCACTCTCATGCTCAAGGATTGGCAGAATTAATATTGTGAAAATATCTATATTGTCAAAAGCACTCTATAGTTTGAAAGAATTTCCCAACAAAATTCCAATGACATGTTTACAGAACTAGAGAAAATGATCTTAAGATTCATATGGAAACATAAAAGACCACGAATCACTAAAATAAACCTAAACAGAAAAAACAAAGCTGACCGGATGGGCGTGGTGGAGCACACCTTTAGTCCCAGCACTTGGGAGGCAGAGGCAGGCAGACCCCTGTTCAAGGCTAGTCTGGTCTACATAGCAAGTTCCAGGTCAGTGGGAGCTACGAGGAGACCCTGACTCAAAAAGACCAAAAATTAAAAATAAAATAATAATGCTGACCACCTCACAATACCTGACCTCAAATTATACCACAGAGTTAAAGGCACAGGCAAGAACTTTCTGAGGACCTCAATAGTACCGGAAATACTGCCAAGAGTTGAAACATGGGCTCCATGTTCATTGTAACTCACTAATTTCATAGTGCTATCTTACTGAAATTTTTTTGTGTATATGTGTGAGTGTATGCATGTATGGTACGTGTGTGTGGTGTATGAGTATGTGGTATATGTGTCCGTGCATGTGGAGGCCAGAGGGGAATATTGGGTGTGCTACTCCATAACTCCCCAGGTGTTCCTGTGACACAGAACCTCTCACCAAACCTGGAGCTAGGCTGGCAGCCAGTAAGCCCCAGCAACACTGTGGTTCTTTTCTCCAAAGCTCTGGGATTACAAGCAGATGTGGTTACTTCCAGTTTTTTACTGGGGTGCCAGGGATTCAAACTGAGGTGCATCAAGCATTCTCACCCGCAGAGCTGCCTCCCTGGTCCCAGTGATGTCTTTTTAAATGAGATAAACATAAGGTTGCCATGTTAAAATAATTCAGACACAAAAAGGCTGAAAAAAATGAGGTAAGAAAACACGCTTACAAGAAGGTAGTCTTTTTGAACACAGTACACAGAACCTTTGCCAAAACTTATCTTTATGAGATGTCCTACGACTTACAGAATCCAAATAAGGGTTGAGTTTTCCATGATTGTGTTCTACTTTCTTCACCGTCTCACTCAGAGGAATTGCATCTGAAGGTACAGTAAAGCTACTGAGAAGGCCGACTTCCATAAGGGCCATCCCACTCCTCTCTGAGACCCAAAACCTACACCAAACAGACGAGGAAGAGAGGAAACCCTTTAGGACAAACTTACGGCAAATACTCTGCAAAAATTAAAACTATCAAATGTTACGCTAAATACTGTTTGAGCTCAAATAAAATCACTATAGAAAATTTTAAGTTTATCCTTGTCTTTTATCTGTGATGTTCTTGTAACTTTCAACGATATGTGACATCGTAACAGTGGTTCCTCAGACAGAGAAGGGAAGCGGCCTGGATGGAGCAGGCTTGTAATTGTGCGTTGCAGCAGTTACGGCACCACCTTTCAACAGATTCTAGCCATGTTTTGTACCGGTTCTCAACCAAACATTTCTCAGAAGGTTAACAGTCTCTCGAAAGTTAGCAGCACCACACTTTCCAGCTGAAAGCCCGAAAGCGGTGAGAGAGCATCCTAGCAGCGGCAAACTCCAGCCTGAGCCTTGGCAGCCTTCCCCTCATCTGCTTTTAGAGAGAGAAGAGAGAGACGACCGCTGCTGGGAGGCCTCCCTTTGCTCTCCTGGCTGAGCACATCTTCTTTTCTTCGGCCACCTTGAGAGAACTACAGCCTCAGAAAGCCACGCTACTGGCGTCCCTGGCACCTGATGGATGCGGTGTGAGTACCAAGGGCACCAACGATATTTTGTCTCCTTGAAAATAAATCTTTTTTATAAATGAATAGGAGGCAAGAGCCTGCCATATCCCACAGAAAGACCCCTCTGTGGTTACGGAAACAAGTTTGCCTGCAAAATAAAAGGGTCAACATATTACTAAGTAATTTCCGGTTGTCCTTTTAAATGACAAAAGCAAAAAAAAAAAAAAAGGCTATTAGAAAGCCTTGCTTTTTAGAGCACGGACTGCATAGCTGCCAGCTGCCGAACACGCCTGACTGAAAAGCCAGACAGTACAATTGGAGGTCGGCTGGCTCCGCAGGTCAAACAAAGGAAAACTGTGTGCTGGGTGATACACTCAGCCAAAATAGATGCTGTTGAAAACTAGTAACTGCATTGAAATTAGAGGTGTTTGTATGTGAGCAAAATTACAGCCGATCTGCATAAATACTAAAAGTACAAAGCAGGCTGTATTGTCAGACCTCGTCAAAGAGCCATGGTGAACCAAAGGCCCTGGGAAGGAGCACTAGCTAGTGGGAGAGCTCTGGAACTTCCCTGCTCATCATCTCCCACACCTGACACTGTGAGACACAGAGGATTTTCAACTGCTATTTTGAATAAATGAATGAATGCATGCATGAACGCGTAAGAGAAAAGCTTACCGTATAGAAGTCGTACAGCAAGGCCTAAATGAAATACATGGAATGGGAGCTTGTAGCACATGTAGGCTATTGCTACTGACAGCAACAAAAATACCTTGATTTTTCGTTCTAGAACAGAGATCAATGCAAGCCGAATAAAGAGTAATCAAAGTCCTGTTTCCTTCCTGGCTGAAAGACAGCAAGCCACTGGAGAAATGCTGATACCTCCTGCTGCTGTTCAAAATGCCCAAGAGGAGCGATGGGGTACACACGTGAGGCATTTTCACCTCAAAATCAGACAACTGCTCCAAAGACAGAACAGACGGTTGCAATAGGGAGATGGGGTTCAGGCGACAGCTAAGAAAGTTGAGCACCTGGATGAACACCCAGAGGCAACCTCAGAGCATCAGTGACTTCCAGTCCAACCATAATGCTTTGAGATATTTGAAAAGAGCAGGCTGTTGCTCCTCAGCGCATTCTGAAAGAACCCTCCAGTTGAACACCAAACAATGGGGAAGAAAATGGAAAGGCAGAGACCTCAAAGCCTCGATTCAAGCATTCTCAGAGTTGTTCTCAAAGTCACAGACACTAGAATACCCAGGACACTGGAGGGGGTAGTTCACTTCCTACTGTGAAGTCAGCAGGACTGTGGTCAAATGCTTTGGATTAGGCCAATTTAAGAGCCTCTTCTGGGAGCTGCACTTACCAGGACATAATTATTCTATAATTATCCAAGGCCAGAATCTTCTAAACTGGAACGATTTTAGTACCTAAAACAACTTTTTTTCTTTTTGCTGGATTTGCATGTTCTTATAAAATTTGGGGACAAAAAGCATCAAACTTAAAGCTAAATCTGAACCCAAAGTGAAATTATTTCAACAGAAAAAATAAAAAATAACTATTTTATAAATATGATTGACAATATTAGAGTTTTCGTAAATTAGGCCTGAATTTTTTATTAGTTTATATTTTTCTTTTTCTTTTTACTTACAGGCTTTTGAGCAGATTTATAGTACTAAGTGTGTAGTTCTTCATTTGGAGCAGGCCTAAATCCAATCATAAAGTGATTAGTTATTACGCAAACACTCATGCCACTATTGTACCAGTGGGCATTCATATTCAGTCTCTCTCTCTCTCTCTCTCTCTCTCTCTCTCTCTCTCTCACCCCCTCTCTCCCTGTCTCCCTCTGTCCCTCTCTCCCTGGTTTGTAAGACAGGGTCTCACTATGTAGCCCTTGCCAGCCTAGAACTCACAATGTAGACTAGACTGGTCTCTAACTCACAGACATCCAGCTGCCTCTGCCTCCTGAGTCGACATGTCTTGCCTGGAGGGTCGGTATTGTAGCATACATGATCTAGAGTTGGGTCAGATCATTGAGGAGTTTTCTCCACTGGCAACCTGCATAGCACCTTCCAAAACAATCAATTCTAGCCAGTAGGGAGGGAGTTTCCAGCTAAGTTCTACCTTGATTTCTCTGTGTCTTATAACCAAAATGTTTAGCAATAGGCTCTTACCAGCTAGTTCTGGTGAACAACAAAGAGTAATGGCAATAACCTATGTTGGGCCAACAACTCCTAGAGAGGTATCCCACAACTAGCAATGGAGTTCTTACCTAAAAGTTTATCCTTAGATGGCTCAACAGGTAAAAGTGCTTCCCATGCAAGCCTGATGATGTCAGTTCCATCCATGCAACCCACAATTGGCAGGAGAGAATCAACTCCAGAAAGTTGCCCTCTGATCTCCATGTGTACACCATGGTGCATGCGCGTGCACACACACACACACACACACACACACACACACACACACGCAATAATCAATACGATTTATATTTTTCTATCCAATTTTGTTACAGATACAGGGAAATTTACAAACATTTTTGAGCATGTCTAAGAAAAGCTTAAACACGACTTCAGGCTATAGCCCCTTCATTAATATGATGTGATAGCTACACAGAATCAAACCTTCAAATTTATGTTCTAAAAGGAGAAAAGTAAAGGAGAGATCTGACCAGATACCTACCTTGTGCACACATTCAAATTCACATGATTAACATCATTCTCATCTTTCACATCAACATCTAAATCAAAAGCTTCCTGATTTTTGACAGATCTCCATCTTCTAAAAGACCCCAATTCTTTCACATTATAAATAACATTGAGCTGAATTAATAGAAAATCAGCACAAATGATAAATTAGCAATAAGTTGTTAGCAATAAATTACTATTACTGCACAGTCTAAATATTAGGCAGTGATTCTTTTTGTAATAAATACAATTAGATTTGTATTCTTCAAACTAGGCTTACTAGCTAAGAATGTGTCATTATTAACTAATGCTGCTATAAACACTTACCAATATTTGTATTGAGAAAATTACAAGGTAATATTCCAAACTGTCACAGAATGCTATGTATGTATGTATATATGTATGTATGTATGTATGTATGTATGTATGTATGATGCTCATGGGATACTGATTTCTCAAAGAATGTAAAACATTCATTTTCTTTAGAATATTCACTAATTTCTAAGCTCTGTTACCCAAATGGAACCAGTAAGATAAATCAGAACTAAAATATCACCTGCTCAACCACTGAGAGTTCTTCCTCATCACCAAACATTTTTCAAAGATGATAAAGGGATTTGAAGTCTTTTCCAGCACATGCTCTATGCCACCCCTGCTATGAAAGAGCTGTGGGCACACTGGGGCAGCATGAAGACCAATTTTTCTCAAAATGATTCTAAATCAGGAGTTTAGGAATGCACTCAAAATTTCCTATGTGATCTATTTAAGTATTAATATGCAGCCACTTATTCCAAAACAAGGTTCATGTGATACTGAATTTCCCTTTATATCTACTAAACACACACACACACACACACACACACACACACACACACACCACCCCCAAAAATAAACTTCTGGTGCCCTTCTAGGATTTACATACTTTAAAAAATCTCTCACTAAGCCTTCACTCTTCATATCTAAGAGTTCTAATCTTTCTGTCCCGCCACAACATAAGCTCACACACCCTTTCATCCTTTTCATAATTCTGCTTATTTTAGTCTGGACATTTTGCAACTTATTCTTAAACTACAATTAATTATTAAATATAACATTAATTAAAATTGTTCCTGGAGCAGTTGGAGAACAGTTTTGTAAACTGAGAGCACTTTCTGTTCTCTTCATCCCCCTCCCTCCATGACAGGCAAACACAGCTACTACATTTGTGACGAGGGCAATGACTGACACCTGTCTGTATTAGGTTTTGTATTGGATGACAGTGAAGCTCAACTTTGAGCTCATAGAACTTCAAAAGAATATATTCACCACTACTTAGAATTTATTACCCAAATAAATTAACATTTACCATAAGCCTTAGAGCTCTCTTTCCACTCCTTTTCCAGAGCATTTATAAAATGTCAGCTAAGTCTGGGTGTGGTGGCGCATGCCTTTAATCCCAGCACTCTGGAGGGAGAGGCAGGCGGATCTCTGTGAGTTCAAGGCCAGCCTGGTCTAAGAGTGAGTTCCAGGCCAGCTGGGGCTAGAGGGAGACCCTGTCTCAAAAAGACCCCACCAAAAAAGAATACAGAAGTCTCCAGTTTTGCTTACTTTTGGATTTATTTTTGTATTGAAGGACAGTTGGAAATGAGAATTTTCCCATGCTCTTAATAAAGAACTATATAAATTATTCACTCTCCCTTTCACTGAGAAACATTCCATTTCACTATAACTATTCTGCCTTAATTTTAAAAAAATGCTTTCTGTGTCTTGAGTATCATGCAAAATAATTTTTGGAGGGCTGGTGACATGGCCCAGCCAATAAAAGCACTTGCTGCATGAGCCTGGAGAACTGAGTTCAATTCCCAGAAAACACAGTGCAAAGATAAAATTTTGACTTCTATACATGCTCCATATATACTCAGTGGCACATGTGCACCCACATATACACACAGAGCAGATATAATAATAATAATCCTTTTTAAAAAGTCTTAGAAGTAGGCGGGAGAGCTGGTTTAGCAATTAACATGTACTGCTCTTGCGAAGAACAAGAGCTCAGTTCTCAACACCCATGTTGGATGGCTCACAATCACCTGTAACTATAGCTCCAGGGACTCCGACAGCTCCAACCTCCTGTGCACATACCCCCAAACAGATATACATGCATATACATAATTGAAAATATTAAAAAAGAAATCTTCCCCCCAAAATCTTAGAATTATTTGGAAATTCCCAAATTATATCTGCTTAACAAGGTATTTCTTCCCCACTAATCAATATGTCAATTCTCTCAACAGAAGTAATTGTACCAGTGTGTTCGTTCATTTGTTTGTTTGTAGACAGGCCTCACTATGTAGCCCCTGGCTGTCCTGGAACTTGCTATGTAGACCAGGCTTGTCTTGAACTCACAGAGACCTACTGGCCTCTGCCCAAGTGCTGAAACTAAAGGCATGTGCCACAATGCCAAGCCCATACAGTGTTCTTTAAAGTACTTATTTTGGGCTATTGGGGAAAAGGAAGGGGACTGGAGGAGAGTAGGCAGAATAGGTAAAGGTGACGATGCCCACAGAGACCAGAAGATGGCATTGGATCCCCTGGAACTGGAGTTACAGACAGTTGTTAGCAGCCATGTGAGTCCTCTGCAAGAGCAGTCAGTGCTCTTAACTGCCGAATCATTTCTCCAGCCCCTATTTCCATTTTAATTATAGTACCATCCAAAGCAGGTTTGTTTCTATTTTCTTCCTATACCATGGAACACAAAACCATGCTCTAATTACAATATTTTCTATTTAATGAGGTTTGACATTTAAAAAATACATTTTCCATAAAAACAATGTGTAATGCCATACTGACCTTTATATTCTTAGACAAATATTAAGAATTCATAAGTGAAATATATATTTCCACTGGGTGTGGTGGTGCATGCCTTTAATCTCAGCATCTGGGAGACTGAGGCCTATAACTTGAGTCTAATTTTGTCTACATAGCTAGACCCTGTCTCAAAAGGGGAAAGGGGTGCCCCAACTCTTGACATGAATCACACTGGAGGGTTTCAACACTCCCTTCAAAAGGCAAGTAACCTCCAAGAAATGCTTTCCAAGTAGACTGTCAAGACACATAATTGTTGTCTACTCAGTAGTTCGTAACATCTCTGGTACTTTGTAGTAAAGAACATAATGTATCTTGCCAAGTCATAAAAGTAAATCATTTAGAATTTTATTACATTTTCATTTATTTATTTTCCTCACAAGTGTATGGGGTGTGGGTAGTGGGGGCATGCCATGCACAGATGTGGAAGTCAAGGAACAGCTTGAGGGAGTTGGTTTTCTCCAACCACCATGTGGGTCCTGGGAATCAAACTGAGGTCTGGCAGCAAGCTCCTTTATCTACTGAATCATCTCACTGGCCGTCATTAATTATTTTGTACAAGTTATCTACGTTGAAGACTTAGCAATGTTCCAAAACAAAGAATTATTATTGAAAGTCATATTTAACTGAAAAATTACATACATACCTGACAAATAGCGAATCCAAAACCGTTTGCAGAAATATTAACAACAGTTGGTTGCAGCACTGCAAGCTAAAAAAGGTGAGGGAGGAAAAGTGAATGAGGATAATTTTCTGTATACAGAGTTTTCCAAGTAGCAAAGAGTTCGTGTTATATCCCATGTGGAAGCAGAAACACCTACCACAGTGCTAGGAGAGGCAGAAACACCCCACTACAGTGCTAGAAGAAACACCCCACCACAGTGCTAGGAGAAGAAGCAGAAACGCCCCATCACAGTGCTAGGAGCTCTGCCTGGACCCAAATAAGGGCTGTTCATCAACCAGGTGAAGGATGTGTGCTCTCCAAACTCCCTTAGCCCAAGACTTTGGGAAGGCACACCAATGCTTCTCCCAGAGTCATCCTCCTGTTGGGGTTGAAGCATGCCTGCCTCCAAGCTCCCTGAGTCAGCACCTGACTGACTATGAGCACTGACCATGGACACAAGGGAGCATTCATCATTGTGTCTAGATTTAGCCTTCTGTTCTGGCACCATTATCCCTTTTCTTCAGTTTCCAAGGGAAGAAAGCGTAACCCTTGGGTCTTAGCATAACCCTTTTTTGAAGTTTAAAGTAAGAATTTCAGTCAGGTGTATTGGTATATGCTTGTAATGCCAGCGTGGCAGAGGCAGAAAAATCATGAGATCAAGGCCAGCGTGGGCTACAACAGTGAATTCTAAGCCATCCTGAGCTATAGGGCAAAACTGATCCTCAGAAAAAGGGAGGAAAATGCAATACTAATAATACAGTAATAATTTTTCTACTGGCTCTAACAAGTCTCCTAAGAGGACCAGTGGTATAGCTAAAAAGAATATAGTCTTCGGGGTCATGGGTTCAAATCCTTGCTCTACTGTTATTAGCAACATGGCTTCTCAGCCTACTTTCTCACATGTTAAATGGTGGGGAAAATGCTTGGCTTGAGGAAGGAATGGAGCACAGGTTCAGTGACCTAGCACCGTGTCTACACAAAATTAGGATTTGGTGGTTTTTATCCCTTTCCCGATGTGAAAGTGTGTATGTTTCCTCCTTTTCTACTCATCTTTCCAAAGGTTCCCATCCCTTCCACCTTCCCTGAGTTCAGAAAATTCAACCAAAGGAGGACATCCTTCCTCAATCTCTGGAGGGCCCTGGGAGAAGCTCTTTTCTGAAGTTAGTAGAGAGCAGTATTCCAGAATGAAGGCCCTTCTACGTGGATTCTAAATAGTCACCCCTGTTCAAACCTCTGCCGTCTGAAGGAGAATGCGGTTCTGAGTGTCAATCAAAAACTGCACAGGTCTTGATGCGCTAGGTCCCATCACAGTCACTTGGATATTTGTACTTTCTGTATGCATTAAGGATGAAAATTCAGAGACGGCCTTTAAGGCTAAAATGGTAGCCTACTGAAAGAAGAAAAATGATTATGCATGTGGGTATACACAAAATCTCTAGAGGAAAAATTCAGCCATGTTTAGAAAACCATGCTTATCTGCCCACCTTGAGAGCACAACGCTCTCTCAGTAGTCTTTGAACTGGTTGACTTCAAGTTCATAAGAGGCTCAAAAAACTATTACAGCACAGAACTGAGCATCTGTCCTTAAATCAATTATCATAGACAAAAAATAACTAATACAGATGGGAAACTCGTTCATTTCATATAAATATCAGATATGAAGTTCAAATGAGAAAAACCTATCTTAACCCTTTGACTTGGGTTACTGAACTTTTAATTGAAGTAAATTTATGACTACATGAGAAAGCAACCACATGCTTCTCATTTATTAAAAATGTATTTTTTTAAAGGAAAAACTGTCACCTGGGTAGATGTAAAACCTCCCAGGCTGTTCCTCTGCCTGCTTAGCCACCGCATCACTGGGATTCCCTCAGAAACTTGGTGCTGCAGGTGTGAAAGCAGAGCATATGCCGCAACCTCGATATCCAGGGAGCGCGGCTGCCAGGACTCAGACAGGGTGGGTGCTGATGACACCCAGAACTGCATGTCTCCTGAGAGAAAAGCAGTAACATTCTGATCAACTACCAAACATTACATTTTATACCATTACATATTTTCATACTAGACCAAGTTCTATTTGACCAGCAAAAAAAGCATATATATATACACACACTAGCAAGTACAGGCATAGATAAACACACAGAACTGTGCAATTATACATGTTACTTCCTAAACTATTACAACTTATAAATTTTCATCCTTTTTTATTGCCTGCATTTGAGGATGTTTTGATTAAAATATTTTTCCCAAGGGAAATTCTATATGTTTGGCTCAAGGCTAAACAGTTATAAATAAAAGGGAGAAATAGCATATTCCAGAAAATAATACATATGACTTGTTTGGCCCGGTCATCTTGTACACAGTTCAGAACACTTGGGAAAGAACCATGCTCTGGGAATGCATCATTAGCCAGCTCTCACATTCTTGGAAGCCTCTCCCTTTCTCCTCTTCTGAAAGATGGTGTTACAAACTCAAATTCCAAGCCCCCAAGGAAAAATGAGGAATGCCAGATAACTCAACACCCTTCCTGAAGATAATCCTGCTCTACCCCTCTGACTGTCCCGGGTGGAACCCCCCCCCTTCCTCTCATATACATAGATGGTGACTTCACATCAATGGAATGTGGAGTGACTATCACACAGCCCAGCACAGGACAAATGTTTCACTTCAGTCTCTGTGCAATAGTTACATGGTCCTCAAGCCTGGAATTGGTAACAAGGATTAAATCTAAATTAGTAATATCACAGTTTCTGTAGTCAGACCACTAAGCACTTTCTGTACTTATCCCTTCTTTTCTTTTAAGGATTTGTTTTTATTTTTATCACTGGGGCAGCATGCACAGCACACATGCAAGCACACATATGGCAGTGGTCACAGAGGCCAGAAGAGGGCAACGGATCCCTTGAAGCTGGAGTTACAGGCTATTATGAGCAGCCTGGTGCGGGTGCTGGGATCCACTGCAGTCTTCACAATAAAGCAGTGGATGTTTTGACTGATGAGCCATCTCTTCAGCACCCAGTTATCCTTTTTTTGTCTTTTTTGAGACAGGGTCTCCTTGTAGCCCCAGCTATCCTGGAACTCACTATGTAGACCAGGCTGGCCTCAAACTCACAAAGATCCACCTGCCTCTGCCTCCCAAGTGCTGGGATTAAAGGTGCGTGCCACCATTCCCAGTCCAGTTATCGTTTTTGAATTAACAGAATTGTTTAAATCAGTGGATTCTCTCTAAAGTTACTTATGCCCACCAATTCACCCAAAGACACAAACTTTAATCCCTGACTATAGAGGCTTTGGGGGTAGTAACACTTCTTTCAAATCAGAAATGATGTCAGAAACTCAAAAGGTAACAACTCAAAGAGAAACTCAAAGGCACAACACATCTACAAGATGCCCAGGCCCTTAAGTTCTATAAACAGCCCCTGGGGAGCCTAGAAACAATATAAAGTTCAAGCCCATCCATCATTCTTCATATCATTCCAAAAACACAAATGCAAATAACTTCATATTTTCTCACACACATCCCATAACAATCTAGCAAGCTCAGTTGGGGCCCAGACATTACCTTCCCTTTCTGCATGCCGAGTCAGCATGCGCAAAGCATCCAGGGCTTTTGGACTCCCCACCGAGGACAGTGCATAGGTTATAAGAGCCAAAGTGTAATTGTCCCATATTTCTCTGTTCAAGTCAGACTCCAAAAACTTGATAGAGTCTTGTATATCAATATTAGGCTTGAAAGAAAAACATACATATGTTACTACACCATATATGTAAACAAAAGGTACATTGAAACATCCACCCAAAAAATGATTCCAGTCAGGAGAGGGGGCAGAAAGATTGTAAGAGCCAGGGGTGGTGGGTGAGCACAAGGAAACAGGGTTTTCTAGACAAGTGAGAAGTTACTAACATGAACTACAGCAATGGTGACAGCATGTACAAGACCTATGCAAGCTCCAGCCAGAAAAAAGCCCAGCATAGATGTGGGGAAATGGGGAAGAAGCCCAACCTTAGCTGAGGAGCTACTGGCAACCACTGACTACTGGAAGGGGGGAGTTGATTTTCGTTAAGGGTGTGACATTCTGTTAGCCAAGGTCGAGAGGATGGCTACACACCAAAGCTCATTTGTGGACACAAACTTAACTCAACAGATCTTATATTAATGACACAGTACATAAAATCCAGTGGAGGGGGGACTATTAAAGGTGTGCAGATAGGAGAGAGGGTCTAAATGATTCAAATATATTGTATAAAAATCTCAAAAATTCAATTTAAAAAAGAAATAAAATGATCCCAGTGTCTGTTAAGTATCTGACTTCATTTCGGGCAATAGGAATCAACAACACTCACTGTTATTGAAAGATCTGGTACATATTTTGGAAAATAATAGTACTATCCAATTGTCATAATTGAGTAGGCGCTATTCTTTGGGGATAAGAAACAAAACAGAGTTACTGCAATTGTTTATCCACTGAGTATCATAAACCCAAACGGAAGAAGGAAACACATCAGAAAGACATTTTTCATACATAATCTCAGGACTTGAATGTCAAAGCTCAGGGGAAACTTTGCCTGCCGTGTACTAGATCGGAACACTGTGGGAGCCTAGCAGAGAACAGCTGTTGATTTTGTGAAACACAGTCCAATAAACAATAAGGCATCAGGAGAGCTCTGAGGCAAAATGAAGACCATTAGCATAACTTTCGGTCCACAGTCATTCTTAGCCACACCCCTATGCCCAATCCAGGGGCTTTCAGAAGCAGGTGTGCTTTTCTTGATTAACAGATACTCACAGGGATTGTTCTCTAAAAGTTTAGAATTTTTTTTTTTAATCCTTCAAACGGCTGACATAGTCAGTGGTAGGGAACTTGAACACCCTGGGTTCAATCCCTCTCACTATAAAAAAAATAAAAACCCTTCACCTCAAGGAAACACATTCCCAATTGTAAACTATATTCTTTCCCCTAACAATGAAATATTAATATTACCAAAAGCAAGTGCAGTACGTGTGTTTTAAAGTATTGGAGAATTCCTTTGTCTTCTCTGAAAGAGTTTGTAATTACTTTTGTCTTCATATTTTGGATTGTGACCACAAATGCAGAGCCCGGGACTATCCAAATGCAGATTTCAAACGCAGCGCAAAGTTATGAAGCACTGTCGGCTTCAAGACACATATCTGACACATCAAGATCTACCTTCCTTGAAGTTATCAAAGATTAAATACCTGATACTTTTTGTGTCCCAGGAGAGAAGTCACAATACAGGCCGTGAGCATAACTGGGCTTTTATTGCCACCTTGAAGTTCACTGTGACTCACTCTTCCTGGCTCCCAAAATTCACCATTGGATTTCTGGTATCCTTTGAGCCAAGTATATGTTCTATGCAATATGTTCTGATCAATCTCTATATAAAGATCAGCTTCAAGGAAACATCTTAAAACAAAAGCTGACAACCTTGGTAAAAGAGGGGAGAAGCACATAAACATTAAGCATTTAAACATTCAAGTCCTCTACATCACACTGAGGATGCAAAACAAAAACACATTCCCCATCCGTAAATTCATCAGAGGCAGAATTTCTGAAGAAGGCAGAGAAAGGAAGGAAGAGAACAGAGATGGAAAACCTGTCTCTACGGACGGCCTGACTTTCACTTGAGGAGCTGAGAAACTCCACATCGACTCACAGAACGCCATGTCTGAAAAGGAACTTAGGAGTCACCTAGTCATTTTTTAAAATATGGGACACTTTATGAATTTGCATGTCATCCTTGCTCAGGGATGAGGTCAATCTTCTCTGTGTCATTCCAATTGTGTGTGTGTGTGTGTGTGTGTGTGTGTGCGTGTGTGTGTGTGTGTGTAAATCTATCCCCACATTTTATAGCCCCTTATTGAGCATTTGGCTTTCCAAGATAGTTAAATTGCCTAAGGTTACACACCCTTGACTGCTCTAGACATGTACCAAAGAAGATTCCATACACACTTTGCTCAGTCCAAAGCTGTGCATGAAGTATTTGGAGTTCACAAGCAAACTTAATTACTTTGAGGGAAATGGATAGCTTTCTCTCCTATAGGACTCTGGTCAAATCTTCCAGACCTACATGTGTACACATTCACCACCTGCCACTAACACCTAAGAATGATTTGTATGTGTCTCTGTCTCTGGGTGTGTGTTTCTGTGAATGTGTGCTCTGTATGGGTGTGCTGTGTATATGTGTGAATGCTCAAGTTCTACAGCAGGTGTCTCAATAGCAGATATCTCTCTTCAATAGCTCCCACCTTTCTTTTAGACAGGATCACTCACTGAACCTGAAGTTCCTCATCTGGACTAAGATGTCCCCCAGCAGGCCAGCAAGCTTCAAGGGTCACCTATCTCCACCATCCCCCACAAGGCTGGGGTTATGGGCACACACCACTGCCAAAGTTGGCTTTTTACTTGGGTTCTGGGTATCCAAACTCAAGTTCCCAAGATTTCATGGCAAGCACTTTACCCAGTGAGCCATCTCCCAGCCCTTAGTGTTTCTTTTTCCTTTTTTTCTTTTTTTTTGAGACAAGGACTCCCTGTAACCCCACATGGCCTGGAACTCATTATGCAAACCAGGCTGGCCTTGATCTCAGATAGAGCTGTCTGACTCTGCCTCTGGAGTGCTGGGATTAAAGGTGTGTGTCATCACACCTGACTCTGTAAGAATGATTTTTAAAGGGAGGATAATGAAGAAAAGAAGAGGAGAGTAGAAGGCAGGGATAGGAAAAAGGAGAGGAGAGGGAAAGGAAGGGAGGAGGGAGGGAGAGGGAGGAGGGAGGGAGAGGGGAGAAGGTATGCCGGAGAAAAAGAGGGAGGAGAAAGGGGGAAGGAAGGGACATAAGGGGAAGGGAAGCCAGGCAGGAAGAGAGGTTGCACAACAGAGGCCCTTGTGCCCCACAAAGTCTACTATTTATTGTACCAGATGACACTACAGAAAAAGAAAATGTTAAACTTGATACAAAACACTATATTTGGGAGGAAGGAGAAGAGGGATAAGATAGGGTCTCGCTATGCAGCCCAAGCTGGCCTCAGTCAATCTGACTGCACCTCCCAAACACTGGAATTAGATGCATGAGCCATCACACCCAGCAAGAACACTATATTAAAGTGCTTTGTCAAACAACAAAATCAAGCAATCTATTTATGGATCTGACCCCTGACAAGAGAAAATCTGTCTCATAAAAGGTTAATGTGGTAAGCACCAATAAGGCAATAATATCCAGGACTTTTTGACTTTAGGTATACAGAGGAATTCATCTCTCTGAGTCCTTGAAGTGAGGCCATGGCAGACAGAACAAGGAGAAAGATTAATTGTCCAAAATATGCCACATGGAGACTTGACTCAGGAGGAAACTCTGGATGTTCGTTGCTTAATTCCATCATTATTTTTCAAGAAATACGATCTTAAAGAAATCACATTGACTGTTTTAACAAAACACTCGCTCTAATAAATCAGATATGGAAAAAACACCACAGTAGCAATATTTTCTTGTCATTTGTATCATCATCATAAAGTACTCTTCTTGCTGTTTTTCCCACAAACAAAGGGGGGATTGTGATTTATCTTTGCTAAAGAACATTTGATTTGCAAATGTTGTAGAATCATACTTTTAAAAGATAAACTTGTAAAGCCTGACTTGAACAATCAGCTGCTATGTCCACAGATATGTAGGCCTGTCAATTCCACAGCCAGTGATGAGTAAACACCCAGTACAGACCATTTTAACTGGAAAAACACTTACTAAGTGCTCCCAGAAGGGTCATCGTTCCCAAAAGCACTAAAAGAGCCATTGTTCCTCTGATAGAGAAGCTCCCTTTGGTAACCTGAAGACACAGAAATCCATGTTTAACCAACTTGCTATGGCTTCATATTGAGGACCATTGGCAGAGAAGAGGAGTGAAGACAACATCAATCAAGACTGGATAGTAAGTACTGTCTGTGATGAGTGATACAGAAATATAAAATACCAGGATATTTCACAAGGGATGAAGAAGAAAAGTAATATCAAAAGACTGTTACAGCTGGGTGTGGTGGCATGTGCATTTAATCCTAGCACTCAGGAGACAGAGGTAGGCAGATCTCTCTGAAACCATCCTGGTCTATATAGTGAGACACTCTCTCAAAAAAAAAGTAAGATGAGGCTCTGAAGTCAGCACTAGCTTGATCTCTCCTTGTTTGTTCCACTGTTCATGTGGTGTCAGGGTCTTTCCATCCAGTTCTGATGGGTAACCAAGAGAAGGGGCAATGGCCAATATTGTTTGTAGGTCTACGGGACCCATGGTCAACAGCTCCTATAGAGAGGGAGTCCATTCCTGGCATTGGGGTTTATCACCATCATCATCATCATCATCATTATTATTATTATTATTATTATTAACCTAGGATGTCTAGAAAGCTCAATATCCCCGTGTTATAGGATAACTCCCTTTAATTTATTTTATTATGTATATGTATATACTTTAAGAAGCTTCCATAATGGTAGATTTCCATATGGCTTTTTCTAAAGACCTTTTGCATTTCTTATCCCTGCCTATATTCCCTTCTCTGCTCTGCCCTCCCAATCCCCGCCCTGTCTAATCCTTCCTAGACTAATGTTCTAAGGGTACTATGCAAGCTACCTGAAGGAAGAAATCATCATCAACCTTACTCAGCTGTGAATGCTGTGAACTACAACAACTTGCCCAGCAAGATAAGCCCACTGGTGCAGTAGTGACACAAATATTATGGGATTAACTAATCACTCTAACTGAATTTAAGGTTCACTTCCTAGGATGGACCCCATACCTAACATTGCTATCAGGCTTAGGACCCAAGGCTAAACAGATCACAGGACATAGGTGAGAACCTAATACTAGTTTTCTACTAAATAGTGATCACATTAAACTGACTCTTAATGACTAATTTTTATACCTATAGATGAATGCATCTCTCACTTCTCACCAGAGAAGTTTCCTATGCAACAGATGGTGATTAACAAAGAAACACACAATTGACCAACATGCGGAGGGCAAGCGGCTACAAAGTGCTTATCCCTGAATAGCCTACCTATATCAAACTTTTGTCCCCCAAGGCTCTGGGATCGTCATGGAAATGGGGGTGGAAAGATTGCAAGAGCCAGAGGTGGTGGATGACCACAAAGAAAGAGTTTTCCAGACAGCTGGTCAGTTCCTCATATGAACTCACAGCAATGGTAACAGCATGCACAAGTCCTATGCAAGCTCAAACCAGAAAAAATTCCAGCATAGACATGAGGAAGTGGGTAAGAAGCTGATCACTATTGAGTGAAGGAGAGTCAGGTCTTCTTTCAGGACTGACGCTAGATAGGTTGACCAGGCTCTACTGAGGGACATCTGGGAACACAAACTTGACTTGATAGGCCTTAATATATATATAACAAAATGCGTGAAATCCAGTGGGAAGGTAAGGAGAGGAACAGATAGGGGAGGGGGTCTAACTATGATTAAGATATGACAGAATGCATGAAATCTGGTGGGGGGTATGGAAGGGTGCAGAGAGGGGAGATGAGTCCAAATATGATTAAGATGTATGAAATGAACAAAACTTCAATAAAAATAGTGAAGAAAAAGTATTTTTGAAAAATGTCTCCCCACAAAGAAAATCCAGGATCAAATGGATTCAGTGATGAATTCCAAACCTTTAAGGAAGAATGAACACCAATGCTCTGCAAACTGTTGCACATGAACACACACACACACACACACACACACACACACACACATACACTACCAAACTCACTCTAGAAAGCCAGCATTACCCTAATACAAAACCAGATCAAAACACATATGAAAAAGAAAACTATATATCAGTTTCTCTGATTAATATTGGATGTAAAATGATCAACAAAATAATTGTAAATCAAGAATATATTAAGATCATACATCATAATCAAGCTGGTTTCATCCCAGTGATGCAAAGTTGGTTCAATACATACACTATAATAAGTGCAGTGCAACATAGAAATAGACTGAGGAGGCCAGGAATGGAAGGAAACAACTCAGCACAGTAAAGGCACATACCTCAAACCTACAGCCAGCATTATCCTAAATGAGGAAAAACCAGAAGCATTTCCTTTGAACCTGGAAGAGAAAAGGGGGTCCCTCCTGTGTTTTTATTAATAGAGTACTCAAAGTCTTATCTAGGGAGATCCAAAAAGAGAAGGAGATGAAAGGCAAACAGAAAGGAAAGAAAGCAGTCAGAGGACCCTATTTATAGACAACACAAGCCTTTACTATAAACACTCTAAAGATTACACCAGAAAACTCTGGACCTGAAATACGTTTCCAGCAAAGCAATAAAATACAAAATCAGTAGCTTTTCTGTGTGCCAATAACAAACTTGCCACGAAAGATATTAAGAAAATATTCCATTCACCATACTTCAAAATAAATAATTATCTAGGAATAAACCTAACCAAGGAAGTGAAACACCTGTACAGTGAAAAGGTTTGAGACACTGAAGAAATGGAAGAAGACACTAGAAGACAGCCAGACTTCCCATGGTCGTGGGTTAATATTAAAAATATTAGTAAAATAGTAATAGTAAATATATTATATTACATATATATATATTATAAAAATATATTATACAAATATATATTATAAAAAATAGTAAAAATGT